TAACAGATTCTAATAGAAATTGAGGTAGGCTTCAGTTCAGTCAAGTTCCTGATTCACCACAGTAGATGCATCTGCCAACAATGATATGCCAAAACTGAGTCTTCACCTGGTTTGAGAACTTAGACAAATGTTAGAAACCCCCCTGCACCCTTGTTACATTGTTCTTGCAGTTTTGCTGTTTAAACCTATCACAAGTGTTTTCCCACAAAATGCATAGGAAGTCACTAAACATGGGTGCTCCCTATTCTTTTATTACTGACTTGTTAGGGTACATTTGTAGGATATCTTGAGTACCTGAGATGGTGGAACATTCTGTGGGTTGTCAGTTCCAGTAATAAGAAAATTAGGTTGGCTATGCTTTTTCTTGGTCCTGTGTTCTGCAGTTACTTTTTGACCTGTGCTGGTTTGAATTAGTCACATTCCATGCCTTTTCATGTTCACACTGAGACCCCCAATACTTGAACTCTTATCCAACTGCATTTCAAATGGAATTAAAACTTTTGTCTTACTTAATCAAATGAGTTACTAGTGAGATGTATTCATGCTTATTTTATTAACCTTTTCTGATTGCTAAATATTGTAGGTAAAAAGATGCCAAACCTCTGTACTGCTTAGTGGGGGGGGACACTGCATATCAAACCAGCTATATCTTCTTGCTTGTTTCTGTAGTCAGCCCTAAAGGAAAAGTGTTCAAATCTTGTCTGACAGTTATATAGATGGACCAGTGTAGCTCTTTACGTGATGAGAAATGACACGGTTTCTCACAGAGTATTTAAAAAAAATTGGCCATAGCAAATGGTTTGTGAATTAGGATTAGACCATCAGTAATAAAGTGGTTCATTGCATTAACGAGAGGCACCTACCTACTATTTCTGGTATTTGTTAGAAAGACTGTTTTTTTCCATTGAGCATTATTTCTTTTCTTTCTGATTTGAGCCTGAGCTAAGAACTTATGTTCAGTGTCCTGAAGTGCCCCAGACAGTGGCCCTTGTAGGTACCTTGTTGAGCTTACTTGATGAGAAATGGATATGTATGGTTTGTGTTATCTTAGTCTCTTATCTCCAGTTGCAGTTTTTAATAAAAATTTGATCTTGTCTCAGGCAAGAGGTTTGGATTAGATCAGTGGTTCTCAACATTTTTCCTACAGTGATCCATTTGCAAAGGTCCATGGCCAGTCCCAACCCACATACACCTGGCCCTGCCGCTGCCTAGTCCCCTGTCCCCTGGGCCATGCTGGTGTCCCTTAGTCCTCACCTGCTGCCCCGCTTGGGCTTGAGCCTGGTGGCTGCAGTGTCTTCAGCTCATGCAGGTGGCAGCAGAGTGAGTCCGGCACCAGCACAGACTGGAGGGAGGAGGAGGAGAGGCCTGTGGCACCCTACTGCCTTGGGCTGGGGCTGCTGCGCCCCACCAAATAGCCTGGTTATGGACCCTTCCACCTCCCAGGCAGCATCTCCCAGCTGTGCGACACCCAGGAGAATGAGCACTGGCCCCAGTGTTGCCAGCCCAGCTATGCAGCTCTCCTCCATCCCCTTACCCTGCTGGAAGGGGCAGGTGCCTTTGTGCTGCCTCTCTGCCCTGCTGCAGCTTGTGACCCTTTGAAATGTTCTTGCAACTCATGGATTGAGAAAAATGCTGGACTAGATGACTTTGGGAGGTCCCTTCCAGGCATACTTCTCTATGATTCTATTAATTTAGGATTTGAATGAAAGCAGTGGCAAAATATACATCACCCCAATGGCCGAGATTAGCCCAGAGTCGCATTGTTGGAGACCAGGGCTCGAACTAGGACTAAATACGTGTGTTCTTAAATTCTGTTGGCAGGCTTTGCCAGTTAAATTGCTGTTCTTTTTTTTGACTGCCTCCCCTCCTACCCCCCATCCCCCAAAAAAGTCTGAGAGGCTGTTACAGTTCACTGTTTCAGGGGTGAACTGAATACTGCCACTCGTATATGCCATTTGAGACCCTGTGCAGGTTTGGGTAGGAACCATGAGGATGGAGGAGGTTCCTGGGGACCTACTGTGGGGTCCAGAGCCCTGGGAAGTGGGCTGCGTGCCTGGGCCTGTTGAAAGGCCAGATGAGGCTGGAGAGAGTGGCTGTGTGCGTAGGGGCCTTGGGAGAGGTCTGGAGAGTGAGGGGCTGCATGCATGTGGACCTAGAGAGGCCAAACCAGCCCAGAGGAAGAGGGACTGTGTGTACAAAGGCCTAGCCCTGGAGAGGAGTCTGGCCAGCCCAGAGGAAGAGCGGCTATGTATACAAGGGCCCAGTGAGAGGCTAGGCCAGCCCAAAGGAGGAGGGGCCGTGTGTACTAGGGCCTAGTGAGGTGCCAGGCCAGTCCTGGGAGAGGGGCAGACCTATTGAGTGGCCAGGTGAGCCCTGAATAAGGGCCTGAGCAGCAGAGAGACCTGGTAGAGAGGCCTGGGTGTGTCCTGTGAGTGGAGCAGAGTACTAGGGCCCATTGAGGGGTCAAGGGGACCTAGAGAAGAAAGGGGTTACGTAGCACAGTTGAGGTGGGGTTTCGAGTATGCAGAGAGAGCAAGTGAGTGATTCATGTTGGGGACCAGGAGGGGCAGACCCATAGAGATGTGAGGGTCTGATAACTGGCGGACTGACCCTTGACTGGCCTGTGCTGGGCCCAGGATGGGCTGAAGGGAAAGAGGTGGCCATAGCTGCAGACAGCCTGGGGTCTTGACTGGTCTGGAGGCAGAGCCAGAGCCTCAGAGAGGCATAACGGTCCATGAGGGGCCACAGGCGAGAGGGAGGGGTCCAGGAGCATCCAGTCTGGATGATGATGGCTGGTGCTAAGCTATGTGAAAAGGAGGGATCTAGGGCTAGGAGTCTGACTGCAAACTAGGGGCCAAAGAGAGAGAGAGCAAGAGTAGAGGGGGAGTCTGGGCCAGAGGGCCTGGTAGGTAGCAGCTTTGGGGAGGTGTAGAACTTCAAGGGGTAGCCCAGAGAGATTAATGGAAGATCAGGTAGGCCTAAAGATCAGTCCTGGGTAAGACCTAAAACTGCAACCTACTGGAGGTGGCTGGTGTGGTGGGGCTGCCAGTGTGGGGGCAGACTCCATGAAATGCCATACCTGCTCCACTCCACGGAAAGGTGAGGATGGGGCACCAAAAAGCCTCAGCCCGCATTGCCTTGTGGGTGGCCCTCTGGAGGGGGAAGGCTAAGGGAGCATACCCCGACAGAAAAGCAGTGGGCAAGGAAGACTGTGTGGACCACCGGGGTCCAGAGGCTGGAGTAGAGGGCGGGAGAGGCCCAGTGAGGGGCCAGGGGCCTGAGTTAAGGGAGGGATCTGAGCTAGAGGGCAGCCCAGGGAGGGGCCAGAGAGCAAAGTGTGGCCCAGTGAGGGGACCTCAGCTAGACATGAAGGCTAGGATGCCTTTTGTGAGGCATGGTGTTGGGGAAGTATGGAGCCGTGCGATTGGCCCATAAGGCCACGATCATAAGGAGAGTGGTTGGTACAGTAAGATCAGGGCAGCCTCCTGCAGTCTACATATTTCTATTAAGGGCATGGTGGGTGAGTGCAGGTGTTACCAGATTTGCCTGCTACTTTGGGGTGTGCTCATTTATTAGGGCTAGGGTCTTGGTAATTCTATTACTGTGCTGCTTGTGTTACTGGTGTTTCTATACGGAGCTGTATCTCTCCCCCTGCAAGCCCTCACCCCCAGTGGAGCTATTTTGCAGGACTCGGTTCAGTGGGGCTGGGTTCCTCCAGTCCCCAAATCAGGCGCGCTCTCGCACGCGCGCACACACTCACACATGCGCACTCACACACGCGCAGTTCATCAGAGGAACAATAACTACAGTCAGACACAAGCACACAGTTGAACAGAATACCTCTGAATCTGGCCGTGTGTCCAGATGACACCCTCATGGGCCAACATTCAGTTCATTAGGGCACGTCTGAGTCAAACTGGGTCAATCAGCCTGTACAAGCTGATCCCCTTATGTGTTTCAAACTCAGCAC